TTATCTAACTTGGATTTGAATGTGTGATCCTGCGGCCTCAGCCCTCCAGGTATCTTGCTGACAGGAATGTGCCAGCATCCCTGAGTGTGAGGCCGCACTCTCCCTGCCAGCCCTTCCCCTCTCCCTGCTTCCCAGTCGCTGTGATGAACGACCCTACCTACCGCTCAGGCTCTCCCAGTCTTTGCTCTCTGCTTGGACACAGTGACTGGGCCCTTCAAAACTGTGAGCTTGCGTGAGCCTCTCCTTAGAGATGTGTCAGGTTTTTTGTTTCTGTGGCAGGACATCCAATGACCTACCCAGCCAGAGAGGACAAAGGCAGCAGAGCAAGGGCACTTAGGTGCTCTGCAGTGACCCTGGGAGCAAGTGGGGTCGAGTGCAGCTGTGGCTTCACACAGGTACAAGGGGGCAGAGGCCAGCAGTGGGACCTGAGGTTCAGCCATCCTGCAGTATTTGAAAGCAGGAGGCAGGAGACAAGGACACAGATGCCTCTGCTGGCAGGAAAAGCCAAGGAAAGGCCTCTCCTGGGCCTGCAAGAGGAGCTGGCCCTGGAGGCCCTGTCTATCAGCCCAGGGGACCATCCTGCATTCCTGTCCTTGTGACTGGGTAGTCTTATGCATGCCATTGAAGCCACCAAGCCTGCAGGTGCTTGCTGAAGCAGACACAGGACATTTGTGCAGACTGCATGCTGCTCCCAGAGTAAGCTTGGCCTAGTGTGGTCTGGGCATACCATGAGGGGCAAAATTCAGCAGAGTCAGGAGCAGGGTGGGACTGAGTCACAGGACATGGTGACCCTCACGAGACCCAGATGGCAAACTATCAAACATCAGATGCACGGGCAGAACTGTCAAGCTGTTGGCCAAGGTAGCACTGTGGATGCCAGCAGTCACGTCCTGCCTTGAGAGAAATGGCAGCTCCATTGCAGGAGTGACAGGTGCACAGGAGAGACTGCTAAAGCAAGGTCGCTCAAGATGCCAAGAGGAATCTGGAGAGAAGACAGCAATCACAGAGAGAACCAGAAACTAGAACACAACTGCAGGGAGAGAGGATTTTGAAAGTACACGGAGAAGATGATGGAAATGACCACTTCTATCCCAAGTGACCCCTATGTCACAAACGGCCCTGGCCTGCCAGTCAGGACCACAGCACAGCATGTGCACTAAAACCAAGGTCCTAACGCATGACATGATGGCTCTGTGGGCAGGAGCAGGCTCCAGGTTGCCCCCACCGAGAGACCCCTCTGGTTCCCAGGCAAGAGAGGAGTTGATCGGCTAGATGGAAATGATCATTTTGGATAGGGATATAGCTCAATGGCAACAGTGACTTGCTTGGCAAGCATGAGGGCCTGAGTTCAATTCCCAGTATCAATTAACCTCCCCCCCACCAAAACAAAAACAAAAAACAGAAAACAACCCAGGAAATGATCATCCTGCCCCAGCCAGGAAACGACCCTGAGGTGTCTGGTGGGCAGGGAGGATGTCCTCACAGCATCTCACTAGAGAGTCAGCTCCGCCCCCGCTGGCAGCTTGGGCCAAGAACACTGCTTTTTTGGATATCACTTGTGCCCTCGGGGTCCGGGCTGAGCAGGCCAGGCAGCATTTCAGGATAGAGCCGGGGTGCCAGGACTGTGACACCTCTCTGGCCCACCTGGGACTCGGGGTTCAACCCCAAGTTGGAATGTCCAGGACAGGAGGAATTTGGCACTCTCCTCCTCTTACCTCAGCCCAAAGCCACCCCTGCCCATGGACTGCTGCAGGCCCAACCTCTCCAGAACTCGCCCCGTCCTTTCTGGCACAGTGCCCCTAGCCAGGGCTGGGCCTCCAGTATGCCTACACTCAGTGAATTGGCTATGGGATGGGCTTGGGGAGCTTCCAAGGGGGCTTGGGTATGGTCCAGCCAGGCTGTTCCCTCCCTATCCTGTCCATACCCACCACGGGGTGCAAGCCCACCAGAGAGCTGGCAAATAGTCTCTAAAAGAGAGTTCCAGACCTGGCTGCTGTGTCGGTCAGGAAGCTCTGCCCCATGTCCTTCCAGGCTCAGGGGACACTGAGGCAGGCCGCAGGAGGGGAAGCGTGCTTCGGGACCTGCCTGAAGCTCCACCCAAAGCCACAGCAGCTGCTCATGATTCTGGGGCTACCAGGGCTCCTCCTGTGTCTGGGGTGTCGCTGGGTCAAGGATAGTGGGCTGGCTCTTCAAACCTCTTTCTCAGTGAGGGTCAGTGCAGAGGAGGGCAGGCACCACTGCTGCCCAGAATCCCATGGCAGTTCTCAGAGTTGGGCTCCCAGCGGGACCTGTGGGGTGGGAAGGGTGCCTATGGGGGTCTCCTATGGGACCCCTCTAATGGGGCAGGGCATGCCCATCCACTAGAGCCATAGAGACTGCCCACTCAGCGTGGGGTACTGGCTGAGGACATGGGCAGCCCATGGCCCCCCTTTCCTGGGCTGCTGAGTAGGCTTCTGCCCAGCTGAGTACCCAGGAGCTGTACCCACCAGGTGCCTGGCAAGAGCTGGACCTCAGTGTCCTATGCCACAGGGTGGCAGAAGGCTGGGTCCTGGCCTAGGAAGGGGCTTGGGACAACGAGCTTCTGTGCCCTCCTGTGGATGTCTGCCTGGTACTGCTGGATGCAAGGCAGGGTGCCTGGCCCTGCCATCCTGGCTCACAGACACGGTGTCCTCACAGCTGCCCTGGAGGGAGGCCCAGGTGGCCCTGCCCAGGGCTGGGGGCAGGCATGGCCAGAGGTGGCCTCTGGGGTATCTTGAGGGAAGAGCTGACAGGAGGCAGGAGGGGAAAAGGAGTAAGGGTGAGTGAAGGGTGGCAGCGGGCAGGTCATGGGCTGTGAGCACATGGACCAAGTGAGGTGCTGGTTTTTACAGGAGGAGCAGGCTTGGGGGGGTGACACTATGGCATGGTGTGGGGGTTGGGCCAGAAGCAGGACATTCAGGTCACCTGTGGTTGGAACAAGTATGCTGCTGGTCTTTGGGAGGGTGGCACCATAAACTCAGTGGATAGGTGTGCTTGGTGTTGACCACTAGATGGAATAAGCTGTGAGGGCTGCTGGAGAAGAGAGGTGCCTAGTCTATGACCCAGAAAGGGGGAACCTCCCCAGACCTGACCCAGGTTGCAGTCCACAGAGGGCATGGTGGGGGTAGGGCCTGCAGGTCCGAGGGTGACCCTGCCTGTGACTGGCACTGCACTGGCCTCTGCAGCCTTCCCAAGGGCCCGACAGGGAAGACCTGGATGTGACCATTCAGGAAAGGCAGGGGACAACAATGCAGTGGGGCTTGGGGCACCCAAGTCCTAGTGGAATCAAATCTGGACTCTGGAGCAAGGCAAGCAGGGCTGGGTCCCTCATAGTGGGCATGGTGTGGGGGATCAGAGAGCTGGAGATCATCCTTGGACATGCCTTGGAGGTCCTGGGGTGACTCCTGGGTAGGCTGAGAGCTTAGGGCTGCACTAGAGATGGGCTGGGGGTGCGTCCATATTCCTGGGATGAGGGGAGAAACCAGGGGGACTCCAACAGCTCTGCTCCCCAGTGAACACCAGCCCTAGCCCAGGTCCTGGGACACAGCACTGAAGGGTGTGTACATTGGCCCCTGAGGCAACAAGTGTGTGGCTGTCCCTGGGAACGAGCACCTCCCACCCCACTCCACAGGAGGGAACTATAGGGTGGTGAGTGGGTGTGTGGGAAGGGCCCAGGGATTTGTGGGTGCCTTTCTGGTCCTGCCCCCCGCCCTTTTGAGATACTCCTGTAGTGCAGGCTGATCTTTAACTCACTATGTAGCTCAGGCTGGCCTCAAACTCAAGGTAACTGTCCTGCCTCAGCTTGCTGAGTGCTAGAATTACAAGTGCCCACCACCTCTCCCAGCCTGCTGGCCCTTGTAGAAAGGTCACTATAGATGAAGAAACACATCCATTTTTTTTTTTTTTTTCCTGGGACCCCTTCCCAGCTCCTGCTTCTGGGCACAGGAGGCTGGACTGCCTGGGCCTGGGTCAGGGCCGTCTCCATGGGCTGGCCTGTGGCCCTTGAGTATGAGGTCGGTATTCTTTATCTTCAGTGTGCGTGTGGGTGCTCTACCACTGAGTTACATCTCCAGTTCTTTTGTAGTTTAAGGGGTGGGGGTCTCACTAATCTGCCCAGGCTGTCTTGGACTTAACTCCTCCCGCTGTAGCCTCCCTCAATGCTGGGATTACAGGAACAGTTTCAGTACACTCGGCTGACCGTTTATTCTTGTGCAAACCCAGGCCTGTGGTCCTCACCCTGAGGCTGGGTGGGAGGCAGGCTTCAGCCCCATCCTCGCCTTGGGTAGAAGAGGCTTAAGGATGTGGGCTTACTGGGGACCACAAAGGTGAGGCTGGCAGAATGGGTGCTGTGTGTTCTATATCGGAGGGGTGCGTGGCCATCAGGTTGAGGTGCAGCCCGTGGTGGGCTGGGTCTGGCCGAGTCCCACAACCCGAGCAGTCCCCAGGGCACGTGCCCAGCCGCAGCTCCGTCGCCTGACTCCTGGTGTCCTGGCCCCGCAGCCCTGCGCCTATCACTTCACGTGCTCTGCGGCGTGAGAGGAGCAGTAGTATTTCTTGTGCGCAATGAAGGTCGACAGGCTGCTGAACCGGATGTTGCACAGGCGGCAGTAGCGGTGGCTGCCGGGCGCAGGGGCTGCTGGTGGGCCTTTTCCGGGCGCGGGCGCACCGGGGTCAGCGGGGGCCTCGGAGGACTGGGGCGGGGGGGACGGGGAGCGAGGCGGCGGGCTGTCCCGGGGGGCGTGCTCGGCCGGCGCGCGGGGGGCAGGGCCCCGAAGGCCGTGCGCCCGGCGAAGGTGCTCTACCAGGTCGCCGCGAGCGCGCCCGTTGGCGGGGCAGTAGGGGCACACGGCGGCTGGGCGGAGCGGCGCGGCGGGGCACGCGTACTGCTTGTGTGCCAGGTAAGCCTCGAGGCTGTGGAAGCTCACGCGGCAGGCCGTGCATTCGTGGTAGTCGGCCAGGGCGGGCAGCGGGGCAGACCTGTCTGGGGTCTGGCGGCGCGGCCGTTTGCTCAGGTCAATAGGGCCGTCGGCGGCGGGGGGCGCGGGAGAGCGCGCGGGCGCAGGCCCAGCGTTCGCACTTGCACTTCCCGGCCCGGGCGAGGCTGGCGGCTCGGCTACGGGGGCGTGGCTGGGCGGCGCGGGGGCGGAGCCAGGCGCGTGCAGCTCGTACAGCTTGCGGCGCCGGCGCGTGCGCGCGGGCGGCGTGGTCAGAGCCGGCGCCGCGGAACCCGGAGCCGGCGCGGTTACGGGCGGCCGGCGCGGCGGCGGGTCGTGACGCGAAGCGCAGTAGTAGCGCTTGTGCACCGTGTAGGTCTCGTGGCGGCTGAAGCGGATGTTGCAGGCTTCACACAGGGTGCGGCTGGGGTCGTCCTCCGCGTCGTCCACCGAGCTGCCCGGGCTCTGGCTGCCCTCGCTGCTCCGACCGGGCCCCTCAGCCTCTGGCGTGACCGCGCCGCCCGTCTCATCCTCACCCGCTCCAGGGCCGGGCGGCGATCGCGGAGCATCGGGCTCAGCGGGCGCGCCCGGCGGCGCCTTGGGCTTGCGCGTGGCGGGGGCGTCCTCGGGTGCTCGGCGGCCGGAGCAGTAGAGGCGCTTGTGCACGTAGTAGTTGTTGACATTGTTGAAGGTGATCTCGCATTCGAAGCAAGTGGCGCCCTTCGTCCCCGCCAGCAGCGCGGCCGGTGGCCCCGTGCCCTGCTGTAGCCGGCTGTGCACCAGCTCTGACATCTTGGCCAGGATTTCGGAAGCCTGGGGCGCTGCAGGGCCCGGGGTGGCACCCGCGTCCGGCGCGAACACGAGCTGCGGCAGGAAGAGTGTGCTGGCCAAGGCCAGCTCTCCAGGTGCGGGGCTGGCCCCGGGAGTGGGGCTGGGCAGCTCAGCTTTCACGCAGTTCGCACCGGGGCTGTGCGGCGAAGGCGTCCTCGAAGGGGCCCGGGTTGCAGGCTCTGCCCGGCCTGGTGTGCGCACTGCCTCTGCCTCCTTCTCAGCCTCCACCTTGACGCTCCGGGGGACCGTGGGGGAGTCACCACCGCTCCCGTTCTGGGGGGCTGCCCTGGCCTCACCGTTGGTGGCCTCGACCAGGGCCTTCCTGTCCAGGGCTGGTGATGGGGTGGTTGCCAGGCCCAGGTCGGCAGAGGGCAGGGGGCCGTGCAGGGCTGCATGCTGCTGGAGGCTGGAGAGCGTGTCTGTAGGGAGATCACAGTGGCACCTCAGGCCTAGCACTTGTGGACAGCCTGTTCTCATCTGTTCCAGAGCCCAGGTGCCCTGTGGCTGCTCACCTGGAGGCAGCTTGGCAGCTGGGTGTGCTGCACCTGAGGAGTAGATCTCACCCTTGGAGCCGGGCTGGCAGACCATGTGGCTGGTCACCAGGTGGCTATAGAGGATGTCCCGAGTGGTAGAGATGAAGCCACAGCTGTGACAGACTCCTGTGGGCCATGTGTGGGGGTCAGGGCCCTGGGGCCAAGGTGCTCGTGCTCCCCCACCCACACAGCCCACCTACCGCTGAGCGTGTCTGTGTGCACCTTGAGGTGACGCTCGCAGTTGGCCTTGGTGGTGAAGGCCGACAGGCAGATGAGACACACGAAGGGCCGCTCTCCTGGAACACAGGGACCTGTGGCATGGGCCCCCCTGTCCCCAATCCCAGGACCAGGAGAATGGGTGCCACAACCAGGGCCTTGACTAGCTGGGAGGACTTTCTGCCCTGGCTCTTGACGCAGACCGTGCCAGGATGTGGGCTCATGGCGTGGCAGGAGGTGCACCACGGACCCTCTGCTGTGGGTGTGTACAGGGCTCTGTGCTGAGGACAAGGGGACCCAGGTTGGGCATGCAGCTCACCACTGTGGCTGCGCATGTGGATCTCCAGGGAGCTGGCGCTGGGGCAACTCTTGCGGCACTGGGGGAAGGGGCAGATTCGCTCATTGGGATATGGCTCCTTGGGCTTGTCCTCTGTGGCTGTTGTGGCAGGGGAGCTGGCACCCTGGCGGCTGGCGCAGTAGTAGAGGAGGTGGGCTTGCAGGTTGCGCTCACTTCGGTACCAGATGCCGCAGTCCTTGCACGGGAAGATGTCCTCTATGTGTGGGGGGAGAGGCTTAGGGTGGGCTATGGTCTCTTCAGAGAGGGCTTGTCCTCCTGTGGCTCACCCTGACCGTCCTTTGGTAAACTTGACCTCTCTGAGGGTTTTCAGGATCCACATTCGTCTGGGTGGTCCTGTCCTGCCTCAGGGCCTCTCTTAAACTCAGGACCTCACACTTGCCAGGCAGGCACTTAAGCCATTGAGCTATCTCCCTGGTCCTCTCAGGGCCTCTCCTAACAGTGAGCTCCTGACTCAGGAGGCTTTGTGGCTAGGTGGCCAAGGAAGGATAGTGGGTGTATACCTGTAGACACTAAGGAGTGTGACACGTGGGGTGTGTGCAGGTGAGGAGTAGCAAGAAACCATGGGAAAAGACAGAAGCAGCAGCAGTTAGGAGAGCGTCGTCACCCCACTTGAGTGTCCAATGATGCCAGGAATGGTTAAGGCGGCTCACTGGGCAAATGTATCCCAAATGATGCTTCTGACTTTTAGTCTACAAGGGGTTTGGACTACATGGGATTTTAGGGCTATGAGGATTTCTCTGGTGTGTGTTCTACAGCAGGATTTTACATTGCTTTGTTTTTGGTTTTTGAGACAGGGTCTAATATTATAGTCCAGGCTGGCCTCAAACTAACTGTGTAGCACAGGCTGGCCTTGAACTTACGGTACCCTCCTGTCTCAGACTTCTGATACAGCAGGACTTTAAGGAGTGTTCTGTCTGTTTCCACCCCAGACCCTGCTCCATCTGCTGGCAGGTGTTGGCAGGGAGGCTGAGTTTCCCACCTGTCTGTGAGGCCAGTTCCCTGTAGAGACCAGGACACCAGGCTCTACTGGTGCCCTTAGCCTCTCCAGGGTGGGTTATGAGCCTCTGCTGCACAGCAGTGGCAGCTGGGGTGGGGTCATAGTCCTCCTCTGCTGCTCCCCAACAGGCTGCCAGAGTTCCTTCCCACCCTTCCTAAGAACCAAAGCTGTAGCTAGGTGGAAGTGACCACTGCATGTCTGGTAGAGTGTACGTGGGACATAACTGCCTGGGATGAGGTGTCAGTGCCCAAACCTGAGACCCCAGAGTTGCTGAGCTGGGCTCCTGGGGGTGGACAGATGAGTGGACTGTGGGACCCTCCTGACTTCCATCCCCACTGGTGCCCTGTCCCTAGCCGCCCTGCCTTTGGTTGGCCATGTTTGCCTTCCATCTCCCTCAGACCTCGATGCCCACCCCCAGGGCAGACAGCCTCTGCATGCAACCTCCTCCCAGCCCCTGCAAAGCCCGCTTGCTGCCTCCCCAGCCCTCACCCACATCCCTCTTCTCATGCAAGTAGCTTCAGTGCCCTGAGGCTGGCCAAGGCCTGGATGCTTCCTCAGGTCATGCCAGTGGGACCGTCCCCTCCTGCCACTCATAGTGGGTGCTGAGTTTGTGTGTAGGGGATGAGGGAGTCCTGTCCTCCAGTCCCTCAACCTCCAGGAGGTGACCCTGGGCCTCGGGCTGGGGTCCTGTAGTGACCTGAGCTCTGGGGACCCTCTTGTCCCAGGCTTGGCTCCCATGGGAACCCTGGGGCACCCCCAACCCCGTTTCCATCTGCTGTCTGTAGCCTGCCTGGCCCCTGACCTCTCAGGGTAAGCTTTCCTGTGGGTGTCCCTGTCTCAACTCTGTGCTGTTTGTCCACTCAGTGGCCTACAGAGGGCACAGTGCATCTTTTAACTTTTGGTGCTGGGGGTGAAAGCCAGTCATCTACATGAGCCCCCCCCCCTTTTTTTTATGAGCCCCCCTTTGTTGGTTGAGCCCTCCCAGGTGGGGTGGCTGCTACTTGCTACTCACTGTTGATGACTGCTGTGGCAAGGATGGATGCCATGCCGGCCTGCTGGGGCAGCAGCTGGATGTCAGGGTGCATCTGGCCAGGGCTGTTGGGCTCCTCCTTCACAGGACAGCTGGGGGTGCCTCGGGGCTCCACCGTGAGGCGCACACATAGAGCTCCACCTGCAGGCACTGGCCTGGTGATCCTGCACCAGAGGCCGTCATCTGGCGGGCAGAGGCATGGTGCTCGGCTGGTGATGCCAGAGCCCTGCCCTTCTGGCTCATCTGGTCCTGGCCCTCTACTACTCAGGAGGAGAGCAGGGCCCAGAGCCAGGTACCTGCAGTGTGCTGCCCTGCCCACCTGTGAGGTTGTGGGGACCTCTGAGTGTGGTGGGGTTCCACCCTGGGGCACCTGCCTGGTTCCCTCTGTCCTGTTTCAGTGGGTCAGGCTTGGCTGTTCCCACAGTGGCCTCTAGGGGGCAGCCTAAGACAGCAAACTTCAGGACAGCTGGTCTCCCTCCTGCCTGGTCCCCTTGCTAGGGAAGAGGTGCTGCTGCCAGATGGATCCAGTCAGAGCCATGGGCTGGAGAACACTGTGTCCCCAACATTGCCTGGCCCTGCCAAGAGCCAGCCATCCTCACTAGCAACTGCACTGAAAAGACTCACCTTTCAGGGGCCTGTGGGCTGGATGGTGGGGCAGTGCTCGTGACCCACGTTTCCACTGGATGTGGAAGCCCATGGACCACCAGCCACCAAAGCTCTGTCCCAGGGCCCCAGGGGCACATGGCTTCCCAGAGCTAGCCTACTCTCTGTGTCCACTGGGAAGTGGGGATGGGAGCTCTGTGTCAAATAGGTGGGGAAACTGAGACACAAAGGCAAAATGCTGGCCCAGCCTCATGGAGTTAAGGGCACTGCTGTCCTCAGGCCAGGCCCAACTGGGCTGTGCTTGGGCTCTCTGGCCCCTTTCCCTTACCCAGTCCTGGGAGGTGGGGAGATAGAGGGGACTGGGTGGGCGGGCAGGCAGGCACTGTGCCACAGTGCTGCCTATGCCTTCCTCCATTCCCTGGTGAGAAGCAGGCACTGGGGAAGGACACAGCTGGTGGCCAGTCCTGGGCCAGTCGCCACCCACAGCAGAGCAGACTGCTGGCGGAGACGGTCACAGACAGAGGCCAGTGTCTTGTGTCCTGAGCAGCTCCTAGGGACCCCACCTCCCACACAGCATGGTTTCCCTTTAAGGTCAGCCTAAGTAGGGCTGGTGACCCCCGCCCTCCGGAAGGCTGGGATGGGGAAGCGCCACGTGATACCAACCCTTCCTGTAGATCTCCGAGTTGGCGTCAGCCTCCGTCAGGGCCTGGGGCAGCGTCCTCAGCCAGCAGGCCTTGTCTGTAAGCAGCAGGGTCAGGGCTGGGCCCTGGGATGGGGGAGGGAGCAGTCAGCAGCAGACACCTTGGTGGGGATGTCAGAGGCCTGAAGGCTAAGGGGACTGTGGCCCTTGTCCTGGCCATTTCCGTGGTGGGCGCTGGGTTCTTGTGGCAGCCACTGCCCTGAGGAGCCACACAGGACAGATGAAGCCATCCCATACCTGTGTCCACTCCATGCTGACCCTGCATCAGAGGGCAGCTCCCGTGCTGGCAGCAGATGAGCTCTGCAGACCTGTCCTAGACTCAGAGCCTCTCTTAAGCCAGGCTTCTGTGTCCCTGCTTCCTGGCAGGCCTGCCTCGTTCCCTCCCTGTACCTAGACTTGTGGCACTGTATTGGATCAGCCCCATACCCATGTAGCCTTGCTGTCTCAGAAAGGCAGGGCCCCTCCCCATCTCATAGTTGAGGAAACTGAGGCACCAGCTATGGAGGCAACGAGCCTGAGCCTGGCCATGCGCTGATCCAGTGTAGTGGATGCCTGGCAGGAAGAGCACGCTGGGCTCAGCTGTGGGGCTGTCTCACTTCCTGTGCCCCCAACCTGAGGAAGCCTGGTGTGAGGGAAAGGGAGGCACCAACCCCCATGGGCAGGCAGGTAGACAGGGACCTCTGTGCCCACCTGCACACTGAGCCCTGCAGCCTGCCTAGGTCGAGATTCACTTCTCCGGGGGTCCCTGGTCTTGGCTACCGGGGGGCCATCAGCTTTGTGTTTTTCTGTATGCCCTCTCACTTTCTGTTTACTTCAAATAAATGGCTTTTACTTAGAAGCCTGGTATACTGTGACCTCTAACTGATTCCCATTGTCACCTGGGAAGGCTTCTACTCACTGTGCCTAGTCCATGATCCCAAGATGTGAGCGGCAGTTGGCTCACATCATGGGAGGGGGCCCTCTCCTTGAGACCCTCCCCATGACCATATGGAAACCACGAGATGAGACTGGTGGCAGGAACGAGCAACATGGCAAGGTGGAAGCCTGGCTCAGTGGCTTCTGTGTCACCTGTCTGCTGCCGTGTGGCTGGTCATGGGCAAGAAGTGCAGAGAAACCAGCCCGCTACAGACAGGCAAAAACCTTCCCACAGAGCTGTGGGAGAAAAGGGGACCATGTCCCTGCTGGCTCTGTACTACCCTCATCTGTGAGGGGCTTGGCCGTCTCTGCAGCTGGTTCCTCCAGTATGTAGGGAACCCAGAGTCTGAGGGAAGTGCCGAGTGTCCTGTCTGGCCCATGAGTAGCACTGTCTGTGGGCCACTGCTTTGACTTCTTGGCCAGCAGGAGCAGGTGGCCAGGGAGCCTGTAGGCCTCGGGACTGGGCTGCACAGAGAGGCCAGCTGTGTCCGCCATGTCACAGAGTCTGCCCCGGTGCTGTGGGGAGGTGGGAGGGCACTCAGAAGATCTGGTCATCAGGCAGTGGTCCGGCCCCCACCCAGGTCCCCTGGCTCCCTGCACCACTGGAGGGGCTATTTTTAACAGGCACCTGGGGATCATCTGGGCAGGGTGGGGACTGTGTGCCCTTTCTGGGTTGCTTGTGGCCCAGTTCGGGGAACCTGTGTGGTCACAGCTGGGGCGAGCTGGGGGCCAGCTCTGGGGACGTGGTGGGCACACTCTTGGCGCTCTGGCTGAGGACCTGACCTGTGTGGGAGACTCCGAGGTGCAGCTGGGCTTGGGCCTCCCTGCCTCAGCCTTCTGAGTTGCTAATGAATATTAATAAGAGGGTGAGAAAATTAATCTGCCTGGTCCTCCGAGGGTGCCACGTAATGATATGAAATCTAATTATTCGTCCCAATATTTCTAGCCTTCAACCCGTGCCTGACAGCCCTGCTTGGCTTAGTGCTTATCGGCCTTGGAGGCAGTGTGGTCACCACACGATAAAGCACGCGTGAGACTGCTGACGCTGCACAGTGGTCCTCTGGGGCATGCTGGGCCCTGTGCAGGCAGCCTGGCTGCGTCCACCACACTGCTGAGCCTGCCTGTGCTGCAGGGAGGTGGGAGGACGTGGGGAGTTCAGGTCGGCATGGTGTACAGCTTCCTGCCCAGATGCCCAGCTCCCATACCCCAGGAGGGGCCTGGCACCCCATTTGGGTCAGAACAGGCTGGAGGGGCAGGATCTGGGTCTCCACCTCCCTGCTTGGCTGCTAGGCCCCCAGCACCAGCCCAGAGATGGTGGCCGGGACAAGCCAGGCAGCCCTCCCCTGAAGTCGCCCAGAAGTCGCCGACGATCTGTAGTGGGGACCAAAGCCGCGCATAAGGCCACAAAGTCTGCCGGCTGATGTTTTCTTTTTCCACCCTCACCTCTTCTTCCCATTCCAAACATCCTGGAACAAGAGCGCTCTCTGGTGGTGCTGAAGCCACAGGTGAGGCAGGTGGTCTGACCCTGCCCTGCACGTGGGCCCCTGGGCAGCCCTCGCTGGGCCTCCTGCCCAGGCAGTGGGAGACTGGGCTGCAGCCACCCCTCCTTGCCCCAGGCTCAAGCTTAGTGTGGTCAGGGTCAGCGAAGCATCCTGTACCCACCCTGTGTCGTGCCCCTTCTGGCTCAGGATGCCAGGTGGTCATTTCAGATTGTCCTGCAGAGCTGGGATCACTCCCATTTCCCCCAACAAAGAGGTCACTGTCTTGCCTCCCTGCACTGATAACCATCAGAAACCCTATCTGCTCTGCATCCGCCATGGTGGCTTTTTCTAAGGCTGCTCCGGACCTCTCTGTATGGTGTGTGTGGGGGAGGCCCTGGGAAAGATGCCTGCTGCATGTGCAGGTCACGGCGACAAACACACAGAGTCAGGCTGCACGATGCCTGCTGCATGTGCAGGTCACAGCAACAAGCACAGAGTCAGGCTGCACACTGCCCACTCTGGCTCCCAGTCCTGCTGGGCGCCCTTTCCACCGCAGGGCACAGCCTCGGGCCTGCCCTTGCCTCTGGGGCCTGCCCAGCTGTGTGAGCTCTGAGCATCTCCAGCCTTTTCCTTCAAGCACTATCAACCTGGCACGGTCCCCATGGGCTAGCTGTCCGGCAGGGGACTGGGGACAAAGCCCCCTTGGCAGTGTTCGTGGGCTCTAAGTGTTGGGTAAGTGGCCAGGCAGTGTCCTGGGCCCTGGAGGGAAGGCTGTGGGTATGCGGGTGTGCCCCGACTGTGCCCCTCTGCGCCATCCCCATCACTGACGCTAGTGATGGCGCTTGCATGAGGGTACCCTGGTCCTTTGCTTGGGTCTCCCTGAGCTCTTCCTGTGTTCCTGCTGCAGTAGGAAGGCAGGGTGCTCAGGACCCCAGAAGGGCCTCTGCTTTCCTTCCCTGCCCATCCCTTCAAGGCTGCCCTGCTGAGGACCAGCACGGTCACCCTATGTGCAGTTTGCCACATCCCCCAGTGGAGCAGGATGGGCACATGGAGAGCAGCACAGTCACAGGATGCCAGGAGCTCCAGGGACCTTGAGGCACAGAGAGGCCTTGCTGTGACATAACCAGCCCCGCCAGAGCACTGTCTCAGATGTGGGTGCTGGATAGGGAGGGAGTAAAGTCATATGTGAGGTGTGAGGGAGATGGGCCCATAGGCCCCTGGACAGGAACAGTTGGCAGGCCCCCACTGGTGGGACACAGGCTGACAGCTAATGGCCGCAGAAAGTGCTGTCACGTGGTCAGCTCCTGGCCCTGCTTAGGTTAGGTGGGAGGCAGCAGGGAACATGGGGCTGTGATGCTGTCCACTCCCAGCACTGGATGGACCAGTGCACAGGGAGCACCAGGTCATCCAGCAGGAAGAGGATGGAAACAGAACAGATGCTGGCCCGGATTTCTGGGAAGTCACTGGAGGTAGACACAGAGCCAGGGCAGCTGGAGGGACAGCCATGTCCTGCCCCTTCCAGAGAGGTGGCCGGGCTGTGTCTGTCTAGTGTGAGCTTCACTATTCTAGTGACCCCTGTGCTATCCCTTGGGCTCCCCACACTCGGGCTGTGTAGGCTGACCCAAAGGCCACTCTACAACCATCCTTGAGCCAGCAGAGGGCTTTCAGGCTGGGCTGCCCTCCCTTGGTCTCATAGATGGTGTGGTAGGCCATGAGTAGAGGCTGTGAGGGACAAGTGGTCAGGCAGATGGGCAGGGCTAGTGTGGGCTGGGGGGGGCGGGTGTGAAAGCTGGCTCCTTTGCTCCCTCACCCCTCGATCCACACACCCATCGACACATCCATGTATCTAGTCATCTAGCCACCATCCATCTGTGTTTCCACCCACACATCTCATCCATCCATACACTCATCCATTCACTTACCCATCCATCCATCCGTCCACCCAGCCATCTATCCATTCATCCATGCATCCACCCACTCATGTCATCTCCATGCGTCCACCTGCACATTCATGTCTACTCACCCACCCACCCACTTTCTGTCCACTCATTCATCCCCCACCACATCTACTCACTCATCTGCCCATCACCATCTGCTGCCACCCATTGTCTTCCTGTCTCTCTCTACTCACCCACTGTCCATTCATCCTTCTACCCGCCTTCACCCATCATTTTTTTGCCTTTGATTTGTCCACTCGCCTGTCCACCACCATGCATATCCTGCTGTATCTGACTGAGTTCGGGATCTGGCTGGACCCCAAAGGGTCCTTCCCAATGCTCGGAACCCGCAGCTGTGTCAGAGAAGAGACAGCAAGTTGGTGCTGGACCAAGACCTCTGACTCAGGCTCTCTCCTGGTGCTTATTCCCAAGAGTGTGCATGAGGAACTGTGTGGGGAGACACTCTCCCCAACTCACCCCGCCATCTAGGAGCAGATGGGAAAGAGGTAGCCACACAGTCTCTTACCCCACCCCCACCAGGGAGAAGGCAGGATGCCCAGCCCTGGGGACTGATAGGACCATCTGGGCCAGGCTGCAATGTCTTCCTCAGGGCAGCTCAGGAGAGAGAACTGGGGCCCATCAGCCAAGCTGATAAGACGCCCTCTGAGACACTAGTAAAAATATTTAGACAATAAATGAAGTATCGGAAAGGCATGTATCTTTCGGAGATCAATCATCAGTATGGTGTCTGGACAGTCGGCGCCAAGGCGGAGATAGGGCCTCCCGGGGAGATAAGGGTTAATCAAGAATTCAATTCTGCAGGCGATAGTGGGTCGAGGAGGAGGGGGCCTCTTCCTGTGTAGCTTCACCCTGCACACTGGGCCCCATGTCCCTGCAGAGGGTCTCAGCCCAGTGTGGTCTCCCAGCTGACCTGCGCCCAGGCCCAGGCTTGCCCTGCAGGAAGGGGGCCTTGGCACCTGCTGTGTAAAGCGCTCGCCCAGCCCTGTACTAGGGAGACTGCAGTGCTGGACTGGGCATACACAGGCCCCAGTTCTCCTATTGCGATTTGATCCTGGTGCCTCAGCAATGAGGCTCTGAACTTCTCAGGGCCTCGGTCTCCATACCTTTAAAAAGGCCACAGCAGCACCTACCCTGTGGGGTGAGGGGTGTGAAGTGCAAGGCACAATCCTGTCTGTCTAGGTCTGAATTGGCAGCCCCAGAGGGAACGGGGAGAGACATGGAACAAGCACAACCCTGCTCTTGACCATGCCTGCCTCTGTTGGTCTCCATGGGAGGGTTTTCCTGATGCTTTGAGAGTTCAGAGATGGATCCAAAAGCCCATCCATGCATGGCTGCCTTCACCCAGCCAGCTGACCCTCAGCATGTGGCCTCCGGGTAGAGCCACCTGCTGCTGCCTGCACACCTTGGGCAGGGGAAGCTCACTGCCTGCAAGGCTCGCTCTGGATACTGCTGCTTCTCTCCAGAGGCATATGCTGTGCTCAACTGTGGTGGCAACACCGTGCTGACCCCCACTGGGCAGGGGTTTCCTTCCTGCAGCTGTGCCAGGGACCACGCCACTCAGGGCCAATCATCAGTCTGTCTGGCTATTAGGCTTTTCTAGACAAGCTCAAGGTCTTGCCCTTCCTCCCATGCTCCAAGTCCTGTTGCAGGGTCCCAAAGGTCCAGACTGGGCAGATACCAGCCCGGGATACAATGAGGAGGTGACTGCAAGCAGAAGCCCAGGCCTGGCCTGGCCTCCTGCCACCTAGTGGAAAGGCCAGTAGCCCAGGGGCCTCAGTGGTCAGTGTATCTGTGCCCTGGGAAGCTCCCACCATTGGAGGCCCCACCTACAGCAGAGATGGTTGCAGGGGATGCTGGGATTTAGGGCTCTGGGGTCTGCCATTGGGTGTCCCTCACAATGCTACCCACCATCCCCTGAGGCACTTGTGGGTAAAGACCAGACTGTGACTTCAGGCTAGTGCTGGGTGCAGTTGCCAGCACAGCACCTGTCTTCAGGCAGAGAAGTGCCACCACAGGTACAGCCTTGCCCTCACTGGAGGAGGTGCTGTGACCGTTAGGATCAAGAAGCCAGCACTGTGTGGCCCTGGCCACCCTGGGTGGATAGCCTGAATCAAGCCACACCTGAAAGCCACATGAGGAAATAAAAAGGTGCCAAGCCTCAGCCATGCTTGTGTGTTGTGGCACCTGAACCTGGGCACTGACCTGAAAGCCACTTGGCCCCTAAATGTACACTTCCAGGGCCAGACTGAGTCTCTCAGACACTGCATACAAGCCCTTCTTCCTTCTGTGTTACCTGCTTGTGCTTACTAACATTGACACTCTCACCATCAGCACAAGGACAGGACTGGGTTGAGGTCACCCTCAGCTGCTGTGTGAGTTGCCACTCCAGCCATGGGTCCTGCCTACCCAGTGCCACTGCTCCCTTAGGAGCAGCTCCTCCCATCACTTCCTGTTCTTCCCTCGACAGAGTGTTGCCCTGAGGACACTCTGTCCTCAGATCCTGGTCACCCCAGCCCTGCAAGTGGTGGCAGTGAGGAGGCTCCTTACCTGTTCCGCCTGCCCGGGGGTTGATGCTCTGGCCTGGATGCTCCCGTGGAAGGGGCCCCAGGACAGGCCCTCATCGAGGCTGAGCCGGGCCTGCACACAGCTCCGGCCATCCCGTAGCTCCAGTTGCAGCTCCTCTGTGGGGAGATAGGCAAAGCAGAATGAGTCTGCTTGAGGATCCCAGCCACCTTCTGCAGGGAGTCATCCTGTGGCACCTGAGCCTTCTCCCCCAGGAGCGTGGCACTGGGTGGCAAGGGGACTGCCTGGCTCTGGGGCTAGGCCGGCCCGCTGTGAGCCCCGGGCCACTGCGCTCTTGGAACCGGGACAATGGGCAGACAGCTCTGAATCCAGGGACAAGTGTCTTTGTAAGGGGGACAGGGCTGGGGCGAGGGGGCCCCTGGAGCCTTGGGCTGCGTGCAGCCCTGTACACCCTGACCTGTGCCCCTTGCCGTGGGGCGGAGTCTCCGCCGACGTGGCCATGCTCCCGAGGGCCTCCCCAGGCCTGGCTTGCCGCCAGGGTTGCTGCCCACGGCCTACGGGGGCCTGCCTCATGGGTCTGTGCCTGGCTGGAGCACTGCGGTGGCCCCACTTCCTGGAGCCCCACCGGGCATGCTGTGGCCTTAATGGGTGTGATGATCAGATAAGTGGCTGCCTAATGGCAGAGATAACGTGTAAATACACCAGGAGGCCTTCGGAGACAGTCTAACTGGGTCTTTGTCTTCCCCAGGGCAGATAAGGTGGCAGGGGACCAAGACTGGGACGGCAAGCGGGTTCTGTCCCTCCTGTTGCCACAGCAGCTGTGATGGCCCACCCTTCCACCACTGCTCTGCCTGACTTAGGGCGGGTCCGGTCTGTCCACTGAGGTAGGCCTCAGCCTGGCCAGCACCATGCAGCTTTCATGGGGACACTGACACTGGTCCCTGCACAAGTGAGGACACTGAGGCCTGAGGGACCTGCAGCTAGCAGTGGGTGGCAGGATCTAAGCCAGACATGGTGCTGCCCTGCTCTGGTGTGGTGTCGGGTACTCTGTCCTGGATGCATCTGCGTCTCTGGTCCCCATGGCCCTTGGGAGTCCCCAGGCGCCTGTGGTGCTCAGTTGCCCATCTGCAGTGGGGCCTTGGAGCCCACATGAGGCCAGGACACCGCAAGTGACCCGGTGGGCCCTGCACTGGCCTCTGTCTTCAGGCGGCTGAGAGCCTGTGGCCCACCTGCATCCTGCGCCTCCCATACCTCTCCCAGTGGCCTGTGGATAGGGACTGTCAGGGCAGGCCCAGCACCATCGCTGCAGTGCTCACATCTACCCTGTCACACCCATGGGGGTTCGGGCTCCTCAGGGGGAAGGAGGCACCCACAGGCAAGCTGCCTCATACCCTCTCTGGAGCCCTGATCGGCCCAGTGCCCCAGATAAGAACTTGCTGGATGCTTCTCGTGTCTTCTGGTGCAACGGCAGCTCCAGATCAGGCAGTGCCTGCTTCTGGGCTGGTCAGGGCAGGGAAGGACGGGAAAGGTGGGCGGCCGGGTCTTGGGGAGACCAAGAGGTGAGGATGGAGAGAGCAGGATGCTCACCATAGCAACCCACTTCCCTGACCTGAAGGGCCGGTGGTATAGCTCAGCGGACTAAACGCTTATTTAGGTAAGTGCAGGGCTAGGGTTTGATCCTTGGCACCTCAGGCTGTGCTGGCCCCACCCCCGGGCGTGCTGAGCCAGTGATGGAGTCTGGGCATGAGAGCGCATGCCTGTAATCCCAGCACTAGGAAGGCAGAAAATAGGAGGATCACTATGAGTCTGAGCTGTGTAGTGAGACCCTGCACAAAAAACAAAACAAAACAAAAAGTCAGGGGGGCTTGTGGGTTAGCTCAGTTGTTTAAGTATCTTCTTGGGCAAACCCAGTCAGGCGCAGGGACCACAGTTTGATCCCCAGCTCCACATGCTGTACTAGACCTGCCCTTAAGGCAGCCTGAGCCAGCCAAAAAAAAATGCAGGCCATGGTGGGTGCCTGGGTTAATAGGATAGCACATGTGAGCTCAGCCTTACTCCTGTGGGTTGTGCAGGGCACAACCTATGCTCCTGCCCACAGCAGCCTTGGTGATGTTCGTACCATCTGCCAACATAAGCTGAGGACTGATCCAAAACATGCTGTGTGTTTAAATAAAAAAATAATGTGTTGTGGTGAAAGACACTTGGCCACGAATCCTCCTCAAATTCCTGCCCCTTGCTTTGAAAACACTTATGATTCTGGAAATCCTCTTCTCTGAAGATGTGATAAAAAATAAAGTGAATGCCAGTCTGGCCCAGTGCCATCCAACAGAAAGGCAGAACCCTTAAACCATGATGCTGTGTCCTCATCCACCTTATTCATGGGTCTGGCACTGTGAGACTTGTGGCTTTTCACCCAAGTCGAAATGACCATGAAAGGGAAGCTTGAATCAACTGAGGACATCGAGGCAGCCTGGCCAGTACGGCAAAAGCTTCTCAGGAAAGAGGGCTGAAGGGTGGCTGCAGAGAGTGGCTAGGACCACGGGATGGGTGTGTGGAGGAGGGCTCAGAGCGGGCCCCATGTCCACCTATCTCTCACTGCACCATTTTCTTAAAACTACCCATTCGTCACACATTTTGATCACACCACATCCTTCTAGCTCCCGCTTTTGCTGCAGACCCTCATTCAGCCCACACAGGAACAGGCCGGGGCCAGGGCCAGCACAGCACTGCCCCAGCGGGAGGCAGCAGTGTATCGGGAAAGGGGCAGGAAGAGGCACGTGGGTGCCTTGAGGGGCTCACTGGGGAGGAGAGCGAGGCCTGAGGCCCACAGGACAGAGACCAACAGCCATGGGGATGCCAGCCCCACACCACAGGACACCTTGGGGTAGGAAGCCAAGCAGGGACCACACAGGACGGTGACCACAGCTTGGCTGTGCACTCCCAACTCAGGGCTTGCCCCTGCCCGGGGCTCCTGGGAGATGGAGGTGGGGTACAGGCAGATCCCACAGTGGTCCCATAGGGACCAGGCCTTGCACAGGGACAAGACTGACTCACCGCTGCACCTGTTATCTGCAGAGCAAGTGCACCCTGGGACGTGGTGTACCCCACCATGCCCCTGGAGAGTAGGATGGGAAGTTCTAGCCCTCAGGACTCCAGGCCTGATGGTGTCCCTGGGGTGGGGCAGTGCTGGGCAGAGGACTGGGGCCCGGGTGCCACCAGCCTCAGTTTCTGCTGTGTGGGGCTCACACTGGTAGTCAGAGCAGGGCCTGCTGCTTTCTCCCCAGGAGTCCCTCCTGCATCAACTCTGGCCTTGGCCTGGGGCTGTCCCCTCTTTACACACTCAGGAAGGGGCCCCAAGAGCTCACACAAGTGGCCTGAGTTCATGCACACAGCCTGCATGTAGCCACTCTGCCTAGACACATGGAGGCCTGCGTGCCCTGAGCCTTGGTTTTCCCACGCTGAGATGGGGAGGCCTTGGGTCAGCGTGGGGCTCCCTCTGGCCCCTGCTTGTGCCACCAGCCTCCCTGAGGGCCAGCCTTGTCTATGGAAATGGCTGTGGCCTCTTGAGCTCAAAGTCCAGTGGCCCCCAGCCTCCAGCGGAGGAACATCAGCCTCTGCGGTGGGTGTGGGTGCCCACCCCACCACCACAGCCCCGATAATCTAATCGCCCATCACTCCCGCCCGGCCCCGCCCTGCGGCTCCCACAGGCCAGCTGGGGAGCGGCCCTATCTTGGGGATCGTGCTGTTTGCCTTTGATAAAAGTCACAGAAAAGGAAAGAAAAAGAAGGGAGGAGCCATGCTGGTGGGTTCTGGAAGACTCTAAGGGTGTGGGCACAGGTGAGAGGATGGCGGGCACCACATGGGGCCTGGGCATGTCTAATGTCCCCGCATCCCAAATGAACATGGAAACCCTGGCCCAGAGAGGACAGTGATTCCCCGGGTGACTCAGCAGACAGGCTGGGCCAATGGGTGGCGTGTTCCCTAGATCAAGCTGCTCCTGAATGCCAGGTCAGGAGACGGGGCCTGGGCTGTTCGAGCTCTGACCCATGGCTGTGACCGTGGCATCTTCCGCCAGGCTGGGGAGAGCGAAAGCTCAGCAGGAAACATGCGGCCCAGAAGAGGCCTCCACTGCAGTACAGTGATCCCCGGGTCAGCCAGGCGCCTCTGCCACACAGGGCAGAACACGCGAGGGCAGCAGGACCTCAGCGCCAGGGGAGCAGGCACAGCGAGGGAGACTGTGGCTCGCGCCCAGCAAGGTGCGAGGCTGTGGGCCAGCTGTGTACACAGTGGGGGTCAGGGGCTGTGTGGCGGCACACGCACATGACTCCAGATATCCTGCGAGGCTGAGCCAAGAGCATCGCAAGCAGCTCAGCAAAAGCCTGCCTCAAAGTGAAAAATAAACCAGGCTGAGAAGGTGGCTCAGTGTGAAGGACCTGGTTCAAATCTCTAGAACTAAAAACAAAGTAAATATGTAAAACAAAAAATTAAAAAATAGGGATCATCAGGCTGGGTATGGTGGTACAAATCTATAGTCCCAACATTTAGAAGGTTGAGGCAGGACTGTAAGTTCAAGGCCAGCCTGGGCAACTTAGTGAGACTCCCTCACATGCATGTCCACATACCCCCGCTAACCTCCCAAAACACAAACACTCAGACCTCCCCGCAAAATGGGCTGGGGTTGTGGTTCAGTGTGCAGGAGACTCACTCTCCAGTGCCACACACACAAGCAAGGGTGCCAGATGTCACTGCTGGTAAGTCTGATGTGGACCTGAGGGACTGCAGCAGACGAGGCAGGCTCCTACTTGGCCAGCTGGCTGCTGCCCTCGACAGTGCAGGCCCTGCCCCGTCCCGTGTCCAGGTATGGGTCAGGCGGCTATGAATGAGCTCCGGGGGCAGAGGGGTGCGCTCTGCAGGGAAGAGTGGCCACCGGGGGCCCTACTCTGCACCCCCCCAGCAGCTTTGGTGGGAGGGCGTGGCCTTGCTACGGCACTGGAAGGGCTCTCCACACCTGCTGTGGCTACCTACTGCCCATGTCAGCCCTGGGACTGCATCATCTGGGGCCAGGCACCAAGCCGAGCTTCACTCCTGAGTGCCAGGGGCAGAAGGGCTTGTGGGGTGGCCTGGTGTGGGACTGGCAGGTTAGGTCAGGGCTGGGGGA